TGCGGCTTTGTCTACTATAATTATTTGAAGATTATGAAATTTCCACACAGCTACTCAGAAAGCGTCAGTTGTCAAATAAGAATAGACAAATAGGTATTATTGGGCTTCCGTTACGGGAGACGTATGCGTCTCGTTAAAAAAAAGAAGGATGCTAGTTCAGTATATGAACCTGAAGCAGTTGTGAACTGCGATGGAGGCCGATGTTTCGAAAGAGCTTGCATGCCCATCGAACGACACATGAGGGCAGCATTCAACAACATAAACACGCGACTGTACGGCGCTGTCTTCCGAGTGGCCGAAACTGTACCTGTTGTTACCTTTGCTACTTTCTTATTACTGGTACGTCAGTATTACTAATTTTATTTAACCATTTAATAAATGGTAACATTAATTTGGTTGTTTATATTAGCTATTGGTGAAATCTGCATTATTGTATTTAGTGAAACGTACTGCAAGAAGTGGCCATAGACGTACTGCCGTACTGCGTCAGTGCGTGTATTGTATAGCGTGGCATCCATAGCCACGCACGGCGCGCTGTAGCCCCATAAATGTGGCCTATTTACTGGACTGCCTCCGTAAACATAGGCCACACATCCACATACATGTACAAAAATCGTGTCGACTTTGCCAAATTTTGATTTTCACATTTAGGCTTAGTTTGTAGGGTTTTTTTTGCTTTAGAAGCATACTCACCCTCTTTACAGGCTAATCAGAAAGTGCTGCCTTTTTCAGATGTATATTTTTCGTGAAATTTCCAGATTCATTTTTACACGTTTGCGTATCAAAATTTCAACATGAAATTTCACAAAAATTAGACATCTGAAAAAGGCAGCACTTTCTGATTAGCCTATGTTTACGGAGGCAGTCCAGTAAATAGGCCACATTTATGGGGCTAGGCGCGCTGAATCGCAAGGCACAAAAATCGTGGTTTCTATCCCAAAAATCCGTTCAAAATTGCAAAACGGGTGTCATTATAATTGAGGAAAACTGCTTTGATTGTAAAGGTGATTTTTGAGCAATATAAAAAAACATTTTTGACTCCAATATGATCAAAACAAAACAGGGGCCCTACACTTCATGATCGCCGTAATTTTTCCCTAAATGACCTAAATCAGCCATCTGAAAGTGATATTTTGTCCTAAAAAGTCTAAAATTAGCAGTGTCAAATTTTGAATTTTTACCGAGAAAACACAAATTTTCAGAGCAGTCCCATAGGGTTTGCGCACAGTGTGACAAATGATGGCCAGGTATGGGAATCTTTCCCAATTAACATCAAAGGAAAGATTCCCATACACTGTATATGGCCATCACTTGCCACCCTGTGCACAAACCCTATGAGACTGGTCTGAAAATTTTTGTTTTTCTCAGTTAATACTTCAATATTTTCCTAGCTCTACTGAAAGGAACGCTGGAACTTCGGTACGCATTTTTCGTAAAAATTATTCACATTGCCAGGTTCATGGGTCGGTACGTATGGTAAACCTAGCCAACTGTGCAAACTGCAAAGTGACACGGTTCCTGTGCCGTGCTGACCGGCCAATGTGGCCGTCCGTACACGGTGACATTGTTGCAGTTCGACTGACCTATAGACCTTAATCAATGACGAAAATCAACATTGCCATTTTTCAACGGCATAAGAGACTTACTTGCAAATATTACCGAACTGAATTTTTACACTCTAAATATATTTCCATACCAAACTGTGTATTTCTTGCTATTTTATTTTTGATTTTACGGATGATCCTGCGGTTTTCTGATGAACCATTGCGCTGCCCGAGAAACGATTGCTTGTCTGCAGTCCATCATGAATCGATGATGATGTCACTTCAAAAAGTCATAGTCGGTGATTTCGAAAGTTTACCTATGGCAAAAAGTCGGATTTAGTGATTTCAAAAGTTTACCTCTGGCCAAAAAAAAAAAACCTTTAGGTTTCTTTAAGATAATGTAAACTTTTCGAATTGATCAAATTAGGTTTTGCCCTTCACCGACGTATAAACACTGTATACTCAGTCTGTTACCTCCCGAGTGAAAGTTGGGAAAAATCAAGCCGGTGGGACTCGAACCCACGATGTCCAGTGCTTTCTAGTGCAGGTGTCTTACCACTCGACCACCGAGCTAACGGGATCTGTTGGCCGGTTCGATTTGAACTTTAGCAGCGGGTACCGCATTAACTATTTATTGCCAAATCACCCAGTATTGCTGTTCCAATGTGCAAGGAAACAGGTCATCTGGTACCTTGGGCAACTCGTACCTTGGACAACTCATACATTTAATGTGACATCATTATGCCAACTCGTACCTTGGACAACTCGTACCTTCAATAAAGACGTCTCGTTCCATTACGTGTAAGTCAAGTCGTACTGAATCAATTAAAAGCACAGACTGCTCTTGCAATATGTGTTTTAATTTTGGTTATTAGACTTCGCAAGAAAACGAATGCAGGAAATACTTTGACAGTCACCATATGTGAAGATGAAATGGTTACTCTCTCCTATTCATCTCAACATTTATTTCCATATTTCAAAGAACATTCAGGTAACGGAAAGATTTCCATATACGAAGTTCACTAATTTTCCTCTGTATTGACTAACAAGCCCCCAGATAGCAATTTCATATCATCAAAGTCAATTTGAGCAGTGAAAAAATACAAGCATTTTCTTAGAAAACACTTAAAGTTTTTCAGTCCAATCTCATAGGGTTTGTACACAGGGTGTTGAGTGAACTTCGTATATGGAAATCTTTCCCAGGTAACTATACAAAAAGGTCAAGAAACGACTGTTTGTTAAAAATATGAGATTAATGATTATGTAAAGACACAACTGAAAAAAAGTAAATTTAGAGAAAGTAAATCTTTAAATTTGCTTTCTCTTATTTTGTCTCTGTTAAAAGCTCTGGATGAGAACATCATAAGCTTTGAACTTGCTACCTTGCTACTGGTGCACACAGAATGCGCATCGGGCACTGAAGCATTATAAAAAAAGTTTCCAAATATTCTTGAAGTAATAACTAACACTTCTTGGCAGCAATAATCCTTCTGTTTACAAAAAAAGACCACCCCACCCCCCCCCCCCAAAATGTACTTAAAGAAAACAAAATAAAAGTTTCAAAATATTCTCTAAAGGGTACAGTCCATCATTTGTAAATTGTGTATTTTATTCGTTTGAAGCAACAAACACGCTCAAAATCTAAAGAAGGGTACTGAACAACTAATTTGGTGAAGTTTCAGCTCAGCTTCAGCTGTAGGCCTACATTTCGAGTAAAACAACATCCTAGGATTTCGATTTCAAATCAAAAGATGCTGAATCTTGTTTTGAATTTGGCCTGAATTCAGTGTTGGAGACACGTTCTCACTGAGCTAATTGCAGCTACGCAATGTCACGCACTGATCTGATGAATTTCAACAACCGCGCGAGCGTGTGCATCGTGTCAACGCTTGCGCGCACTTCGCCAACTAAAAAAAGGAACTACTAACGGAAATTTCCAACCATGTGCCTTTAGATGCATCGTTGGAAAGGCCTTCTTTCATTGATTTCTTCCCAATGACAGCATGCCAGAACAAATAATTTCACAGGGAGTTTTTGTCCCGGGCCCTTACTATCTTTCAACCAAGTAGTTATTCAACACTAAATATAGTTTTGGATAGCTGCAAATGATGGACTGTAGCTTTAAATGATCACTTAAACTTCTTGGCAGCAATAACAAAATATTGAGTGCATACATGTATGTACATGTATATAGCCACGTTCATGGGTCTATATCAAGCCATATCTTATTTTTCTTCTGAAAACAACATAAGAATGTATACATGTCATCAATAGCAGCCCCAATGCAGTATACAAGGTAGAAAAGCCACCAAAATCATAATTTTTTTCATATTTTAGTATAAAGCATAAATAATGAAATGTCTCTCCTGAAGACAGTCAGAGCATACTGACCGGAACATCGAGTTGATACCTCTGGTGCTTTTCAGAACCATTCTCTTAGTTGAGAAATTATTCTCCCATGGTGTTTCTGCAAACCTTTCATTATTTAGTATCTCCACCATGCAAAGCCTCAACTCTTACTTAGAAAGCATAATTCTGTTTCAAGTCGACCAAATGCTTCGTAAATGATTGCTGCATGGTGTGAAGTAAGCTTAATCTCATCTGGGTTTGGATAATAGGGGAAAAGGGAAAACTTTAGTATTTGCCAAATTTCAAGGCCTCCGCCAATTTTCAACTGCTGGACAAAAACTAGATGTGCCTCCAGCTCTACATGTCAAATTCGTGATGAGCATTGGAGCTGGAGTTTCTCATCTCCATCTTGTATTGCAAGTTTTCAATACCTTAAAATTTGGGACTCTCATAGACAGTATTGAGAGTCCCAAATGTTTGGACAACTATTGGAAAGAGTTCCACACCTGGACATCACTTGACACCCGGTGCACAAACCCTAAGAGACTGGTCTGAAAAATTTGAAGTGTTTTCTTCGTTAACGTTTCAATATTTTCCCTGCTAAATTTGACTTTTAAACATGTCATCCGTTTCTGATGGCTGATAGGTCACTGTGGGGAAATATTAGTGATGTGCATGCAAAATGTATGGAATTCTTCCCCAACTATTTTTTCCCCAGCAGTCAGAAAATGACGGAGGCCATGAAAAATTGCCTCAACTGAAATTGTCCTTTTCCCTGATCCAAACCTAGTTGAGATTAAACTCACCTAAATACCATGCAGCAGTCATCACAAAGCAGAGGATCGACTTGAAACAGAACTACACTGGCTAAAATATGAGGAAACAATGATGATTTTGGTGGCTTTTCAGATAGAACCGTCGCGTCGCAGCCGTGTTGTGGCGACATTTACAGCTCGAATCTCATACTGGTATGGTATCCACATATACATCGCACTGCATACATGTAGAGACATGTACACGATATGGTTACCATACTATTTTCAGGTGCACGTTGTGATTTCAACTTCAAATACAACTGCTTTATGTGCAGTTTCTTTATATTTCCAGTGTGTTTTTGGTCCAACGTAATAACACCAAAATGGATGAGAAGCAGGGACCAACTTCTGATGATGTCCCAACTGGGGAGGTAACGTCAACCACAGTTACAGAGGGTGATGTTGTCAAGATGCCAACAGATGTGGCCATCACTATGGATGCCATTCCCAATGAAGATGAGGAGGACAAATCCAAAGGTGACTTGTTATTCTTTTACTTGGTGAAGACGTTTGCTCCTTTGCCAGGTCAGCTAAGTGTAATCCCATTCATGTGATTTTGTCCATTCTTGCTTATTGGAAACTTAACACTTTAACCCAGTGAAATTAATTTTGCTGCAAAATAGTTTAGTTGCTTTCCAGGTAAGTTTTTTAAATTGGGGGAATGAGGGTTCAATTTCATAAAAAAAATTGCACCTTTACTTGGTACTTGGTACTTGGTGGTTATCCTGAATACTCCATGTGGAAGTCTAGCAAGGAGGCCTTGGGGAAGTGGAACTAAATTAAATCCGTAAAGGTGTTGTGGTTTGGGGCGTCTATGGTGTCTTGAGGGAGCTTGTTCCATTTCCGGATAGTTCTGGGTAGGAATGACTGCATATAGATGTCTGTCTTTGCTGCAATTTCTGTGAACTGGTAGTTGTGAATTCTACGAGCTGGTGCTGGTTTGGGGACTATGGATGATGAGTTAATGTGAACTATGTTGTGTATTATTTTAGTAGGTAAGTAGGTAAGTTCGTTAATTTTCCTTCTCTCTTCCAGTGAAGACCAGCCTAGGGTTGTCAACATGTTGGTCACACTGCTCAGTCTGGAACAATCTCGCATTACGAAATGAGCAGCCCTCATCAGTTGCACTTTTTCCAGGAATGTTATGTTATTAGCTATGTGAGGGTTCCAAGCAATGCTGCCATATTCTAGGTGTGGTCTGACTACTGCTAAGTACAGCTTTTCTTTGACTGATCTGGATGCAGAATGAAAATTTATTTTGATGAAGTTCAATATACGACTTGCTTTGGAAGTGGCATGTGCTGCTTGGTGATTCCAACTTAGGTTATTCTGAATGATTATTCCCAAATATGTCATGTTGGTTTTCTCTACGAGGTTGGATCCTAACATGGTGTCGTTAGTTTTGCCGGGGGCCCGCTTCCCGGAGATTCACATGATGTTACATTTGCTGGAGTTAAATTTCATTCCCCAGGTTTGCACCCAGTGAGCCAAGTTGTCCAGGTCTTTTTGGAACATCAGTTCATCAGTTGATGAGCAGATCTTCCGATATAACAGGCAGTCGTCAGCGAAAAGGCGAGTTGTGCCAGTCACCGATTTGCCGATGTTGTTGATGAAAAGTAAAAACAGGTGGGGGCCAAGCACGGTGCCTTGTGGTATGCCACTGTCGACACTTTGCCATTTCAAAGATTTTCCATTTACCACAACTCTTTGTGACCTGTTGGTTAAGAATTCCCTGATCCATCTCTGTGTTTTTCCCCTTATCCCGTAGTAGTCTAATGTTTGGACCAGTTTTTGATGAGAAACTATGTCGAATGCTTTGGAGAAGTCAAGTACTGCCATGTCTGTGGTGATTTGTTACGAGTTGGGATTTGCAGGACAGGCCTTTACGAAAAGCATGCCGATTTTCGTTCAGGATGTCGTGTTCCTGGAGGTGTTTCATTTATTGGCTATCAATGATGTGCTCTAATAACTTAAAGCAAACAGAGGTCAACGACACAGGTCTGTAGTTTGCCGGGTCTGCACGAGAGCCTTTCTTAAAAATGGGTGTTACGTTGGCTTTCTTCCAGTCAGATGGAAGGGAACCCAGGTCAAGTGATTGTTGAATATGAATGCGAGTACTGGGGCAACTTCATTGGCAGCTAGTTTCAAGTTGAGCGACGTCAGTAACTTGAGGACTCCTCTAACAGACACGGTGATGTTTGTCAAGTCTGGGTAGGGACTCGGTGGTAGAACTGGCTGCACATCGGTGTCATCCCTGCTGAAAACACTACAGAATTAATCTTGTAGGGTTTCAGCTTTTTCTTGGTCAGATGTGATATTTTTCCCGTTGAGTTTTAGAATCTGAACCCCTGTGTTGTCTTTACGAGTGCTGTTTATGTAGCGCCAACATTTCTGGGGGTTACCTGTAGATGTAGTTTCTTGTAAATGTGTGCGTTTAGCCCTTCGGATTTCGCTGTTCACTTGCTTTTGCAAAAGTTTGAATGTAGACCGCTTGTTACTGCCTTCACATAGCTGCGCTCTTTCTTCCTGCAGCAACGGATTAGGACAGTAGTGAGCCATGAGGGTCTAGAATGTCCCTGGACTGGTTTTTGTGGTACTAATTCGTTAGTTTTCAGCCTGTCCCTAAAAATACTCCAATTTGCCTCAACTGTTCTGGTTTCTGGAGATGACTGCATGAATTCGGTCTTAAGCTCGAGGACAGATTTTTTCAGCTTGGATTCATCCACGTCATTCCACTTGAAGATGGTCCTAGGGGGCTTGACAGAGCGAGGTGCGGTGATGGTTTTTTATTATTTTTTATATTTTTTATTATTCCGCTTTACATTACAACAAAATACACACCTGTATTATTCTAAATTAAATATGATCTAATAGCTTTAAGAAAGGGGCACTTACATTTTTGTACATTCCATCAAAAAAATGTAAAAAGTGCTATTCCACGTATTGTTCTGGTATGCTTTCAGTCTAACCTTTAATATAGAATACATTGCTATTGTAGTAATCAAATTTGTTTCAAGGTCAAAGTCCGGGTTTAGTACTAAATCTGACATTGATGGAAAGTTATAACAATGCTTTGTTACTGATTGATAATACTTAATAAATTGATTCCAAAATTTAACTGTGTATGCATAAGAAATAAATACGTGTTCATAATCATCTACGGTATTACACAGGCTGCATAGTGGGCTATCTTTGATTTTCCATTTATACAGTAAGTATTTGGTTGGCACAAGGCAGTGTATTAACTTGAAGTTAAAATTCCTTAATTTGGCTTCTTTTACATTCATAACTTTTTGTTTCCACACTGAATTCCAATTGAGTCCTTCAGTCTGCAATATTTCGTTCCAACGCTCTTGTGCGACAGGTGTTTTACTTTTATACTCAAGTAAAATCTTCTACTTTTTTTTTGTGTTTATATTTTCCAACTTACCAAGTTTTTCACTGATATGAACATGCCTTTCAGTTAGAATGTTATCGTTATTTAAGAGTTTTGTCAACCATTCTTTGGGTAGGGCCTTCTTTAGTATATACATTTCAACTAGCCAGTTCTGTTTGCTAATTAGTTTACCACTCACATACCTGATGGAGAGTTTGCCCTTTTCATTCAAAATGTCATTACATAAATGATATTGGATTTGATCCAATTTCTGAAGAACAGAGGTTTGTCGTTATACTTTATGTGTTGAATACCCCAAAGTATTTGTGTCTTTATCTCAGTTCGGGATAAATCTGCTTGCATTTTCTTTTGTTTGTTCAGTTTCTGCCAGCAGAGTATTATCTCTTTGTAAAATTGTGGTAATTTACCTGGAAGATTTGAAAAACGTTTTGCATTTTTAAGGTTCATATTTAGGACAGCTAAATCAGGGCAACATAGATTAAGGAAGTAGTCACATAAGCTTGTCCATTTACCAGCTTTTTTGTTAATCAGTTTAATAATGATCCAGTTGCATTTTAGCGCTGCATGGTGTGATTCAAAGTCAATTAGATTTAGACCTCCTTCATCTAAACCACGAATCAAAGTTTTTCTTGAAATCTTATCTATTTTCCCTTGCCAGATGAAAGGAAAAATCAGATTTTCTATTTTTGTAATTTGTTTTTGTGGGGTTGGAATAACTGATGCTAGAAAGGTAAATATTGGTATTGCCAAGTTGTTTACAATGGTTACTTTACCTGGTAGTGTCGGGTTGCGTCTTTTCCACTGGTTGATTAAATTTGCACAATTAGTTATTTTTTCTTCCCAGATTAATTCATAGCATTCATACATGTTCTTTTCAAAGTAAACGCTTAGTGTTTTGATTGGTCTTTGCTGCCAATTGATTGTTTCTTGGAGATTCTGGTCCAGATTATTATCGCAAATAACAAGTCCTGTTGTTTTTTGATGGTTCAGTTTTGGACCTGCTATTCTTCCAAATTCTTTAACAACGTCAAGAGCATTGTTGATTGATTTAGCGTCTGACATAAAAAGAGTGGTATCATCTGCGTACATAGAGATAGGAAGGTTTGTTTTGTTTGGTAATTGTACCCCGTGTATTTCATGGTTTGTTCTTATTCTGTTTGCGAGAACTTCTGCTACGATTAGGAACAACGAGGCTGAGAGAGAGCAACCTTGTCTAAGCCCACGTTTCAATGTGAAAAATTCAGACATAATTGTACTTTGAATGTTTTTATACATTGTTCTTATAAATCCAACTGATAAAGCTATCTCCAAAATTAAACTTTTTTAGTGTTTTTATCAGGAAGCTCCATTCTACAGTGTCAAGAGCCTTTTCGTAATCTAAAAAGAGAATTGCAGTATTTTTATTACATGTACATGTACCCTCTTGGCTAAAATGAATAACATTATCGATTATTAAACCTTTGGACACAATTTCTGATAAATCATCCTTTGATGTAGCCTGACTGGTCATCTTGAATGATATCTCCAATTACGCCTGACAGTCGATTTGCTAATGCTTTGGCAGCTATTTTGTAGTCAATGTTTAGAAGGCTGATTGGTTTCCAATTTTTTTAATTGTTTCGCTCACCTTTTTTATACAGTAATGATATTATAGCACGGCGTTGGGATATCGGAAGTTCCCCTTCTTGGTAACTTCTATTCATTGAATTCACAAAGAGGTTTTTTAGTTGCTTCCAGAATGCAAGGTAAAATTCTACTGTTAAACCGTCTGTTCCGGGACTTTTGTTCTTTTTCAAACTTTGTAGTGCTTTCTCATATTCTGCTTCGGTAATAACCTCTTCACATTCCTCTTTCTGTTCTTCGTTTAACACAAAATCAAACTGAGTATCATCTAAGTATTGGTTTACTTCATTTATTTCTACACTGTTTGAAGAGTACAGACTTTGGTAGAATTTTTTTTGTTCATTGAGTATGCCAACTTCATCTCTGATTATTTTATTATTTTCATTCTTTAATTCTGTAATAGTTTTTGTCAATGCGTTACGCTTTTTTAAGTCCCAAAAAGTATTTCCTGTTTCGTTCACCCTCTTCGTACCACTGTTCTCGAGACCGAACCATTTGTCCTGCTATTTCTTTCTCGTACATTATCTCTAAAGTTGTTTGAAGTTTGTTTTGCTCTTCTGATTCTTCTTCACGGTCATTCATGTTTTTCAGCTTTGTTATTAATAATTCTTTCACTGTATCTTCCACCCTTTTCTTCTTTTTTGAATAATAGGCTATATGGCATACTCTTTAAGTTTTAATTTACAATATTTCCCAGCAGAATCTTTGATCTTCAAATTCCGTTACTAAGTTATTCATGAACTCATGCAAATATGACTTCATTTTATCTACAAAGGTTTATTGTTAAGAAGGGAACTGTTGAATTTCCAATAGCCTGGCCCTTGTCGAGCTTTGCTGCTAGCTAATTTGACTGAAATCGCTTGGTGATCGGTTTTAATACTTGGTCTTATGTATGTATGTCGCTCGAAGTAACTGCATCAACAGAGATAGGTTGAAATAAGAAAGTAATCAATCCGTGTTTTTACACTGGGATTCTTTATTCTAAAAGTTCTGGTAAGTATCTGGATGTTGATTTCTCCATATACCTGTTAAAGGTTTCTTTTTACACACATCTATCAGTGAAATTGTATTCTGTTTTCGTAATTTAATCCCTCCCTCTTTATCACATCTGTGGTTAAGTATGCAATTAAAATCACCTCCTAAAATTAACTCATTGGTATTGGGGATGTATTTAAAAATCCACTTCTCCAATTTTTTTAAGAACTGAACTCTTTCCTTGCAAGTGTTGGGGGCATAAATATTCATAAATGAGATGCATTTTCATGGATTGCATTAATTAAACATATTCTTCCAAACGAATCACAATGTGAATCTTTTACCTCAATGTTAGCTGAATCTCTAATTAAAATACTGGTACCTCGACTATAAGAGTCGCCATATGAGTGATAGCTTTTCCCATTTTGCCAGTCGTATATATCATGAGTATTTGCTGTATCTTCTGTGAAGTGTGTTTCTTGTATAAATAGGATGTCGGCTTTTTGATCCTGGAACCATTTATATGTTGCCAGGCGTTTGCCTCTATCCCTCAAACCTCGAACATTCAAACTAATGATGTGGAGAGAAGCTGTGCCAAACAATTAGGAGCTTTGATTAGATTTTCATTATTTCATCGATTTAATCATTATTGGTTTATTTATTTACTTCATTACTTGTTTATTTTATATTTTTGGTTGTTGAGAAGATTCAGCTCGTTTTGTACCTGATGAACTCCTCTTCGTCGGTGTCATATGTTGCTGTAGCTTGTTTCTTTTGGATATCTTGGTGTGTCGCTGTTTGCTGCTTGCTGTGACGCTTCCTGCGTTTCCTGCGTCTCGTTTGTCTTGTTCCGTCGTCTGTTTTCTCGATCGGGGTTGTGGGGCTTGGTCGAGGTCGTTTGGGAGTGTTGGTGGTCTCGGCTGGATGAGCTGTAAGTGGTTGTCGCTCTATGTGACTTTGAAATGCCGATTCAATGACCCGGATTGCATCAGCTGTGTTCGGTGATATGTCAACCACAGGCGCGGTTCTAGAACCAATATTTGGGGGGGGGGGGGGGGGGGGGGTTAGCACGGTAGATCCAGAATTTTTTCAGGGAGGCGTGCTGAAATGTAGACCATTTATTTTTTTCTGACACTTAGACCCCCGTAAATCAATAGGTAGGGGGGGGGGGGGGGCTCATGCAATATTTTCAATTGGGAGCGCCAATAAAATCCTAAAATCATTCACACTATATTAACTAATGCACCCTTTTCACGACTATTTCTTTAGGGGTAGACTGTTCGCATGTACATCACAATCTTTGTTTTTTCTAATGCAATGTTTTTTTGAACGGAATTGATTTTTGGGCCCCCCCCCCCTCCGGCGGGGCACAGAAGCTTGGCTCCATTTTGTTCCAATTCGGGTGCAATATCTTCATTGGAGACTGATAGGGGTAGATCGGATACGATGACCTTGGTAGACTGATCATCTTTTGACAGGTAGGGGTTGTTGTATTGGAGTCGTATATGTTGCTGTCGAAGGGAGATACTGGTTGTTAGTAGGGTAATTCTGGCCTCCTTATTGGTGGGGTAGATGCGCCATAATCCCCTAATGAGCTGTGCTCCTTTCAGGGTGTTGTAGCCTGATACTTTTTCTGTGGCCATACAGATTTTGTAGGTGTCTAATTTACTGGACCCTTCCGCCTGCGTCAATGATTTCTGTTGGAAGAACACTGGTCGAGTGGTGTTAGGGGTGCCACCCCCCGTGCTCGTAACTGTAGCGTATGTCGCCATTGAAGTACGCTGATTTTGCTGTTGGGTTTTTGTCTTGTTTCTAACGAAACACAGGGTTTTTTTGGGTAATTTTTTCTGATCCGGATGACTTACTGTGATGACTTTTAGTATTGCAACTGTTTTCACGATGGTAACTTGCTTTTATCTCAATTTACTTGTAGATTTTGGAGAGCAAAATAGAACACGTCTGGTCGCGTACGAGCCTGACATATCAATTTGAATTTGGTGCGGTGATGTTTATGTCAGCTAACACTGTTGCGTGATCGCTAATTCCGGAGTTGCTGTATACATTACAAACCAGAGTTGGACGTGTGGTAAAGACCAAAACTAAGATGTTATCTGTTCCTGTAACTGGGTCTCTCCTTGTAGTAAAATTTGCCTTTTGTTCGAGATTGTAGTCATCTGCGATGTTGATAATTTTGGATCGAATACCGTTTGCCGATAAAGTAAATGTACCAGTCCTTGAGTTCCAAGCATGCCCGGGATGTTGAAGTCTCCTCCAAGAATGATGAATGGGGAGTTTACCTGAGCCTGCAATTTACTCAGACTTCTGTCTAGGTTTTCTAGAGATTCTGGCCTGTAGGAGTCGGGGGCTCTATAATATGCAGAGATGAAGATGTCCTCTCCTTTCGGCTTGAGCAGTAGTTGGCACCAGAGTAATTCACAACCATCTTCAGAAAGTTCAATTGCTGAGAAACCATCCTTAACCAAGATAAAGACACCTCCGCCACGTCTGTCGTTTCCTCTGTCCTTGAACCTTTGTTCAACTGTCAAACTTGTGAATTTCTGATGAATGAATGCAAAGTTTACAAAGCCATTCATATCTTAAAACATTCATTCTTTTATAAAGCCCTGTCCGCACTGGACTTTTTTGGTCAAACTTACCGAGATTATGGGTACGTTTCCCATTTTAAGTCCAGTGCGGACAGCCTGGGACATTTTCCTCTCAGTTACTTTTGCTGAGTCCAGCGGTTACTTTTACTGGCCAACTGCTGCCCAAGAAAACTGACCACGTGCCCAGGAAAATTAACCAGGTCACTTTTCCCGAGACGATAAGTCCAGTGCGGACAGTGCGAGTCGGTAAAAGCAGCTGAGGAAAGTGACATCTGGCCTGAGCGCGAGTATCATGCATACAGAAACCGCACGATCCCACACGTGATGTGGCCGAACATTTTGTGGAAACACGTACGCTGCGGGTGTCAAGTCCGAGCTGTAAAATCTCGTTATAAATATATTTTAAAGGAGAATACATTCACAGAAAATATTAAGATCACGTTCTGGGAAATAGGGTACTTTGCAGTTATTCGTTTTCTCCACCAATGTTTGTTTTGTATTTTCTACGATCCAAATACGTCCTGTTACGCCGTGTAGTCTGCATGGCACCGTACGTAGGCTGCAGTCCCTGGTTCCGGTCCTACATAATAGCTTTGATTCTGTTAGCATGCGGTGGGAACCAGTGATTACCGATGGAACTGCTGCTGCATGGCTTCGATGTCGTCCATCACAAATGCGTCAGAATAGTAGGCATTTTCATCAAGATTTATCGTGTCAAGATGAAATAACATCGTATGTTACGATTATATTGTGCATTTTAATGGTGTGTGTAATATTATACTGTGCGTATCGGGGGCTGAAAAAAAATGTGATCAGTATTTTATTTCCTGTGCACGGGACTGTGACAGCTCAGTCACTTCTCCCACACGGTCTGGGTAAAATTTCCTGTGTCGAAAGTCCAAGTGCGGACAGTGGTCACATTTGACCATTTCTCATTTTACCATCGTCTCGGTAAAACCTTCCAAAAAAAAAGTCCAGTGCGGACACGGCTTAAGATGGAATTTTGCGTCGTGAGTGATTTTTTTTCCAAATTTCACTCGGGAGCTACCACACTGAGTATACAGTGTTTATACGTCGATGCAGAGCGAAACCTAATTTGATTCATTCTTTTGTTGATTAATACAAAGCCCATTAAAAAAGGCAAATAAATATATCAAAATATTATGAGGCATCAATAAAGTATCAAGTATCAGAAAAGCATACTAGTTCAATTACCAGAATGGTGATAGTACATAGCATTATTTGTGCTTGGCAGTTTTGAATTACGCACACAAAAACAGCAGCTTGTAGAAATTGGTCATTTTTGGGAACCGTCCAAATTAAGATATTTATATATAGGTTTATCTCTAACTTTACAATGAGGTTCATATTTTAAAGCATTATTTTTTTTTCAGGTACTGTGTACAATTGTTGTACATCTATATTAACAGTATTCAACTTTGGGATGTTTCTTATTCAAAATTTGCAATTCATTGATCTGTTTGTCAGTGTGAACTGATTTTGTTGTGCAGTGTCTCACTTGAAAACTCATAATTAAACTTACAAATATCTCATGCTTAAAAAAAAATCAAAGTAAACTTATTTTCTCTGATTGGAGTTGGTCTTTTAATTTGTTTGTTTTTGTGCATCAGGTCTTGACCCACAAGATAACCATTGCGCCAGCTCCTCCGACGTTCCGGTGACTGGGGCTGCCACAACGGATCCTTATCACTATCTGACGCAACAGCACTTCACCTCAGAGATCTTCAAGATTGAGATCCAAAACCTCCCAAGACAATTTGGATTTGCGGTGAGTTTGCTCTCTATGCATTCAAGTCTCGATAATGATAATACAGTTTGTGCTCTATTAAGAATTCACGATGTTCTCCATGGTGAACTTTTACTGAAGATTTCTCAGGGTCTTTTTGTAATTTTGTATAACAGAATTTAAAGGCAATGGGATGAATTTCACTAAAACGTGGAAATATCCTAGCCTCATGTCAATATGAAAGTAATGGTAAACTGCATGTAGAAAGTTGTAATCTTTTTTCCAGCGCACTTTTTACAATGCCTGTACACTTTAATAGTTGTTTCTTCTGTTGCTGTGATATCGCTTTAGGTATTTCACAATGACAGCTTTGTGATTTTCTGTGTAACTTGTGAAACTAAAATTCATTGCATTGAAAATGTACATGTACACGTAGCAGTTTGTTGTTCAAGTATCTGACTGACTGCCTGTGCCTCGTGCACAATGAACAAACAGTCACATCAACCTCAACCAAAACACTTTGTAACTTTTCGTCCTCAAACAGCAGTGACACTGATGTTCCAGCTCATGACATCACTGTATTGCTCATGAATATGGAACTTGGCACTTTTCTTAAAAATATTTTAAAGCCTGGAGCATCATGACCCTTCATCAACTGAAAAAACCTCAAGATCTGTTTCAAACGCTCTTAAGTATCTGCAGTGGAAAATGTAGATGTACAAATGTAGACGTTTGTGCCAATTCATGTAGATTTTCACACAGACAAAGTTTAAAAACAAACTTGCTCATTTAAACGCTCACAAAAACCTCATTCAAGTAACAGTTAACATGTACATACATGTAAGTATGCAATTTTGTAATCCATTTGCCTAGACAATCATTTTCAAGTATTTTTGAACCACTTGCATGTAAGTTTTTCATGTGCATGTACATGTAGCTGATACTGATAGTTGGTGGCAATCTGTGCTGAGCCTGCACATTACTAATAACACAGGATGTATTGACAATTCCCTACTTAATAAAACACGTTACAATTCTTGATAATATGCTGTTAACGTTTCTCGTCCCCAATAAGGTGTTTCACAGTAATATGCACCAATCATAAGATGGAATTTTTGCGTCGGGGTGATGAAATCAAATTAGGTTTTGCCCTTCACCGACGTATATACACTGTATACTCAGTGTGTTACCTCCTGAGTGAAAGTTGGAAAAACATCACTCGGGGATGGGACTCGCCATCTTGTTCACAGGACAAAAAGAACATCCGTTGCTAGACGCGGGCACATTTTAGAATGAACGCACGATAACTTGGAAGTGCCAAAGCTTTCCAATGACGATGCATACACAGCAACGCATGTAAAATTGCCCCACGGGCAAGATAGCGTATATTACTGTGAAACACCTTATGTACCAACTACATGTAGAGTTTGAAAATTATATACGTACAAGCTGGTTTACCCGATCATAGATCGGGTAGGGCGTAGTGTTGGGGATGAAAATGTGGGGAGTTAAATGTAAATGGGGGATATAGTTGGGGAGACATGCAGTTAAAGAATAGCAATTTCTGTCGTGTGATCTGAGGCAATTTCTGATCACTAAAACCAATTTGAGGAAAAGATCATCTGTGAAAGTTTTGAGTTTTGAGTAATTGAATCAGCTACATGTATTCTGAGCAATAGAATCATTATTGTAGGCTACAATATTTTTATTCGGGGAAGAAAAAGTGTGTGTGTGGGGGGGGGGAGACCAAACAATGTCCCCCCTCAAAATGTGTGTGTGTGTGTGTGGGGGGGGGGGGGGTCCCCCTGTCCCCCGTCGATTTACGCACATGATAATTAAAATGTGCCATGGCAACCGTCTGTAAATGTTGCCATTGGTCTGTTAAATTGGCTTTTTGTGAGGCAGTCGCATTTGGAAAACGTAGTGAAAAGGTTACAGTAGTACACAGGCGAAGGCTGGTTGTACAGTTTGACAATAAATCATAATGCAATAAAACGTGAAGGTGTCATTTAAAATGAAAATGTTGAGTGTTACCAAAAAATTACAAACGGTCCGAATCATGGAGGAAGGTCATAAATAAGTTTCAGTATTGGACTCTTCAACAAACGTATAAACTTGAACTTCTTACAATTTGCGAGACCGTCTGCGATTCAACTTTTATTCAAGTTGGTTCAACCATCTATATATAAGAGCAAGTTTTACTCGGCCTCCGAGAAATGTTTGCTTCTGAAAGGATCCGAGACCGCGGCTTCACGTCCGTGGAAAAATGTGGGTGTCTTCCGCCGGGTCGGACACTTTTTCATTGATTTTTTTGTGACTTCGTTGAAGATCGCAATATTTGAAGCAATGCATCGACCCTTCGTTGACCCCAAACTAACAGGCCCCCGAAATTATAACGCGACACTGAATTATACGTGGCGGGCAGCGAACTCACAACGCTCAGCCTTGGAGGTGGAAGCATGGAGCTGTAAACACATTATGGAAGCAACAGCACTCTATCACGCGACGTCACATGCTTGCGCTTCAAATAGCGAGCACCGTAGACCCAACCTCGTTTGCAGGGTGTGGAGCAGGCTGCAGTACGCGTTGCCATCGACAGTTTTGCATAGCCCGGATATACTATGCAGTGTAGACTTTCGATTGGTCAGACCGCGCAAGGCATACTAATGTGTAGTCCTTCTGAGTATTTGTTGCACTCGGCGCAGGGGCGGCAAGCAAAGCACAGGAAACAATAGGGACACTTGGTGGCCACGCACCATGGGGAAAAAATATTTTGCCAAGGTCACCCCAAACTAACATTTGGTGAACACTTTTGCAGAACGGCTGAGTAGAACACGTAAACAAAACCCCTACGTTGACCTTGCTGACCTCGCACAGTCTAGACTCGCAGAAAAGCCAACACAGGGGGCGGCCAGGCAGTCAACGTGAAAGCGCACACGACGGCAAATTCCTGCGCAAAACGCAGTCATGAAAAATCGACGAAACGGATCGCCGGTCCGTACGGGAAAATTAGGACGACCCGAAGTGTCCGACCCGGCGGAAGACACCCTCCGCATTTTTCCACGGACGTGGAGTGATTTTGGCGCCGCGTGAGCCAGCGGTCTCGGATCCTTTCATGAGCAAACATCGTCTCGGGGGCGAGTAAACTTCTCTCTTATATATATAGACAACACTTTATAGCTGTACACTAACTTGGCAAACACTGCTGACTATCTGCTGACTGTACACACTGCTGCCCTTACATGGATTGCTTGCACTCATCAGTTACCAGAGAACATTGTTCTTGACAACTTTCCAAAGATTTACTCCCTTCTGGTTCTAGATGTGCATACTGCTGCCCTTGTGCTGATGGCTCGGTGCCAGTCAGCCCAGGACATTGTTCCTGAGTACTTGCAAGTGACTGTTGGCTCACTGCTGGTTCTGGATGCACCCACTGTTCCCCTTGCATGGATGGCTTGCAGTCAGTCAGACTAGAGCATTGTCCCACATGAGAACTTGCAAGCGCTGGGGTTCCTGCTGGTTCTACATGTACATGAACCTCAACATGCACTTGAACATGCTGCTGACTGTGCATGGATGCCTTGCTGCTGCTTGGCTTGGAACATTGTTCTTGATGGCTGTCCAGTGACTGCTGACTCTTTTTGTGTTGTGCATGCCCTTGGCTTGGCTTGCTGCTGCTTGGCCTGGCAGCACGGTGCTCTTGGTCATTTTCTGCCTGCATGTGGAATCACATGAAGCTCAATCTGCTTCCCTGGCTGCGATGGTCGGCTGGGATTCCGTCTTGGGCAGCAACGACAGCACAGTTTAAGGACTGAGAAAGCCTTGACTACAGCTTCACGATAGTCAGCATTTGTGGCACTGTAGACTAGGGAATTGATTGAGCTATTGATAAGTTGCAAGATGTCTGTACAACGAGCTCGAATAACAAGTTTTTCTCCAAGTTTTAGATTTTCAACATTCTGGGAAAGCGTAAGTGTTGAAAGATTGCTTGCCACAATGGTACATGTAGCAATTACAGCTGCAATATCCAGTAAGTGCAAAATGAAGAAAACAGCAGTATTGATGATAACCATACGGAGGACCTTGCCAGTTAGCTTGGGACGGTTTGGCAACAGGGCTGATTGATTGCGTACTTTCACTACTAAATAGATGTACAAAGCAAGAGTTGCTATAAAACAGACAGTGTTGATGATGGAAGGAATCCAAAAGAAGATGTCAGCGAAGACAGTGTCTGTTGTTGGAACAAATATCAGAATCACACCAACAATAATTGTTGGCACCCAGAGTCCTGCTGATATCTTTGCTGCTCGAGATTTAGAGGCTTTTTCCTTGAATGGCAGAGGATTGCGCACTGCAGAGAATCTCTCAGCTGCTATGGTGACCACAAAGAAATTAGAAACTGCTAAAAACATATAACGAACACCTGTGGCTGCCCTGTGCAAGGAGTCTATATGTTGAATAAACAGTGCATATAGTAAGTCATTTGTTAGGAAGAGTGAGTCAGCGTACAGCCAGATTGGATAAGTAGATGTTGATGATTGTACGCATGGACTTCACTCGAATGACTGTGAAGAGAAAGACCATGTTGAGTAGGATGCCGATTGGTGCAATGATGTCAGTACATAATGATGTTATGTGTAGACTTCTGTCTTTAGTCTTGTATAAGTTCTCAAGATACTTTTCTACTTCATTTGATGGAGTGGAGCTGTTTTGGTAGCCATCACCCATAGTTCGTGTATAGTGTAGCATTGATCTCCATGTCCAACATTTTATTCAGATGCAGCAAAGAGTGTTCTGCCCTATTTCAAGATCACTCCAGTTTTATACTAACAGGGAAGATCTTGAGAAATGTGTACTTGAAGCTAAACGCTTCTTCATATTTTCTCTCCAGTTTCACTCTTTTTTGTGTACATGTACATGTATCTATTAGATGTTTTAGGTTACATTTTTTCTTCCTTGTTTTGACAGCATACAAAACCAAAGCAGACAATAGAGTTTCACAGTTGTGTTGTTTCAGGTTCTAACTTTTTATTTTCTCCAGG